TCTTAGCTATGCCCCGTTTTTAATAACAGAGTTGGAAGGGACCTTGGAGGTCTTCTAGTCCAACCCCCTGCTCATGCAGGAAACTCTATACCATTTCAGACAAATCTCTTCTTAAAAGCATCCAATGTTGGAGCATTCACAACTTCTGGAGGCAAATTGTTCCATTGATTAATTGCTCTAATTGTCAGGAAATTTCTCCTTAGTTCTAGCTTGGATCTTTTCTTGGTTAGTTTCCATCCATTGCTTCTTGTCCTGCCTTTTCCTTATGCAACCCGATGCCAGCAGAAAATGGATTAATTTGAAGAGCTTATAAACATCGCCAACCATGCTGACTCTGAGCCACACGCAATTCCCAATTCCATAATGTGGTTTAAAAATAAACCAAGATCATCTTCATCGAGGTGAGTTGTGGTTCTCCCAGGTACACGTAATGGCTCCACCTCGAACGTCTCCTGCTAAGTTTGCAGAAAAGACAGTTGCTTAAAACTGACCTGCTCCTAACTGAACAGATGTCAAATGATCCAAAATTTTAAACTAGTTGAAACATCTAGACAAGTCTACTCAAGGTTGACATGCATAAAGGAAGCAAAGGCACACCTGGAAACATTACATAAACACGATCTGAGATTAAAGGACATCGTTGAAATACACAGTCCACCTAAGCTCTAAATGGCTTGGATGCAGTTGGACCCAACTAGCTATAAAAAGGGTGAGAATTAGTTCTCACATGGTCAGAGGAAAACTGGATAGCAATAGCACTTAGACTTATATACTACTTTACAGTGCTTTATGGCAGTCTCTGGGTGGTTTACAACATCAGCATATTGCCCCCAACCATCTAGGTCCTCATTTTACCACCCTCAGAAGGATGGAAAGTTGAGTCAGCCTTGAGCTAGTTAGGATCAAACTTCTGGGAGACAGCAGAATTAGTGTGGCACAAAGGCAACACAGTCAGATAAGCAGTAAGTGCCCCTTTATTATCTCCAACTTTGCCCCCAATGTCCAGGTTACCTTCTGGCTGGAGAAAAACTCTCCCAGGAACAGCCTTTGAATACAGAAAATTAAGTCCAAAACATGAGCAACACAAACTGTAACTTAAAGTCCAAACAAACCAAACTGCGGTAATTAGTTTGGCAGGATAGAAGCAAGAATCTCAGGCTTGAAGGCACGGCAAAACTCACACAGTTGGGAAGACGCCAGGAACACAGATAAGCCACAACAACACAGGATAAAGTCACTTTGCTCCCAGCAGCCTGCCATACGCAGCCTGCCTTTCTTATCAACTGTCTTCCCAGATGTGGCTAATGAAGGGAATCAGGGCCCTTTCCTCCCCATAAGCCACATAACCCACGTTGTTCTCTTCTCCATTCCTCCCTGCTTGCCCTAGGATGATGTTTCTTCCTCTGAACTCCCTCTCCCTTGTTCTATCTCTCTCCTGCTCTGCCCAGCCAGACTTTGCCCTTCCCCAGCTTCCTCCACAGCCAATAGAGCCACACTTACGCTACCTGTCAGCTGCCCGGCTTCCGCCTTGGATTCAGGGGCATGACAATTATTGCATTCTAACCACCGTATCACTACGACTCTTATTATCCTTCAAGGATGGATGGATGGGTGCCTTTCCTTTTGATCCATATACTAACAAAGCCCAATTCTGTTTTGCTTTTTTACCCTGAAAAGGTTAGCCACCTGGAGAGAAGAAGGATGTAACTTATTCATTTATTTATATATTCTGTTTCTGGAGCTGCCCGTCTCAATCCATGCACGCATGCATAAATAAATATCGCTTAAATGTCTGAAAAATGCTAAGTGAAATTCCAAAGTTGATCAAAGTCCTGGAAATCTATCATCCCATCTGAAATGAGCCAAAAAATGGGCTGAGAGGCCCCCCGTATAGCATCCCAAAGATCTAATTACCTTAATTTAACAGCGCAACGCTTCTCTCTGAAAAAGACTAATTCCTGCTTTTTCAGTTCAATTGAAATTTCAGTGCCGTTTTCCCCAATGGGACCGCGCTCCAAGTTCAAATTTATTTGGCAACTAAACAAATGATTACTGCAGCTCATTAAGCCATCCATGAAACAAGAAGAAAAGGAAAATGTGGTGTTTTAAGATGCTGTTTCCAGGACTGAACCTCTGCTTGGGGGATGTATTATTTGAAGTTTCCACCAGGTGGCTCAAAGCTCACTCTACAAAGGAGAAAAATAAACAAGCTACAATAACACACACACATACACACACACACACACACAAACACATACACACACCACCTCCTATCCTTCTAGCTCTTGGAAGGCTGCAAATGCCGGGTTCAGAAATACTGAATAATGTACTTTGCTCACGATGAGTCATTATAAAAATATATGGATAGAGTAACAGTCAATCTTTTTGAGGGGAGAGGGAGGGGAGAGGGGGAAAAGAGGGGAGGGGAGGAGAAAAAGGGAGGGGAGGGGAGGAGAAGAGAAGAGGGGAGGAGAAGAGGAAAGTAGGGGAGAAGGGGGGGAGAAGAGAAGAGGGGAGGAGAGGAGGAGAGGAGGGAAGAAGAGGGGAGGGGAGGAGAAAAAGGGAGGGGAGGGGAGGAGAAGAGGAGGGGAGGGGAGGAGAAGAGGAAAGGAGGGGAGGAGAAGAGAAGAGGGGAGGAGAGGAGGGGAGGAGAGGAGGGAAGAAGAGGGGAGGGGAGGAGAAGAGGGGAGGAGAGGAGAAGTGGGGAGGGAACTTACTGTGGTGCTGTATACATTAAGAGTTACAAACTTTAGGCTGAGGAATGCAGTCCTCTGTACCAGAATCCTAGAACTTCTTCCAACTTCTCCTTCTACAGAACCATAAAGTTGAGAAGAGCTGGCTCTCAAAGACCCTCCCTGATAGAGCATAGAGTAATAGGGTTGGATGGGACCTTGGAGGTCTTCTAGTCAGGGGTGCGATTCAACCGGTGTAACAACCAGTTTGGTGAGTGTGCGCTTTGCGCATGCGCAGAGCGTTTGATACTGACTTTCTCCAGCAATCTCTGTTGAGTTAAACAGCTGATGCGCTGCAATCCGCTGTGCCGCACGAATCAGCTGAACTTGAAAACCAGGATATAAAGCATAGACTAGAACAGGGAGCGGGCAGGTGGACCCAACAACTGGTTCACTCACAGCTGATCTTCGGAGCTTCCGGTTCGTGTGAACAGGGCCGAACCGGTAGAATCCAGGTTCAAGATAATAGGTATAAGTTATAACACAGTTATGAATACATGAAATGGGTACATATAAGAAAAATAAAAGAAACAATAGGACAGGGATGGTAGGCACATTGGTGTGCTTATGCACGCCCCCTACAGACCTCTTATGAAAGGGGTGAGGTCAATAGTAGACAGTCTAAGGTTAAAGTTTTGGGGTTTGGGGAAGAAACCACAGAGTCAGGTAGAGTATTCCAGACCTTGACCACTCTGTTGCTGAAGTCGTATTTCCTGCAATCAAGTTTGGTGTGGTTAACCTTGAGTTTGTACCTATTGTGTGCTCTTGTGTTGTTATGGTTGAAGCCGAAGTATTCATTGACAGGTAGGACATTGCAATGTATGATTTTATATACCATACTTAGATCGGACCAAAGACGGCGTAATTCAAGGTTTTCTAGGTCTAGAATTTCAAGTCTGGTGGCATAAGGTATTCTACAACAAGTAGAGGGGTGGAGAACTCTTTTTGTGAAATACTTCTGGACATTCTCAACTGTGCTAATCATCAGCGAAAAGAACACAGTTGCTCTTAATATGATCACAGAGGTCATTTATGTAGAATATGAAGAGAGTTGGTCCTAGAACACTGCCTTGGGGGACACCACTATTGACAGGTACAGAATTTGATAGGACACTCCCAATTTTGACCATTTGTTGTCTGCTTGACAGGAATGCTTCTATCCAGTTATGCAGGTGTCCAGAGATACCATAAGATTTTAGTTTTAGGAGTAGTTTGTCATTTACCACTGATTGCTTTTGACTGCTTTCTCCTATATCAGACAATTTGATTGATAGAACTCTGGTATAGGAGGAGCTGGGGAGTTCTCCTATAGGAAGAGGAGAATAAAACTTCTCAAAATGGCTATTGAGGTGGAAGATCTTTAATGGAAAAGCAGAGACGGTTCTACAGTACAGCAGTGGATTGCTGCCTTCAGAGATTGTGGGGGCTGGCAGCAGTGATGATGAGGTTCCCGAGGAGCCTGTGCTAAGTGCACGTGCGCGCAGGATTGCTCGCAGGAAAGAGCAGCTACAACAGCATGGGCAATTCGGGAGTAATGGCCCCTCCTGCAAGAAGATAAAAGCCAGCTGTGAAAGGAACGTACTTTGCAGAAGGCAAAGACGTTTTGAAACTCCAGACTCATGGACATTCCAGTACCCCGAGTTTGTATTTGAAGATTCTTGTATTGCAAATTATTTCTTGTCTGTTATCTTTTGGCAAGCCTCGCACATCTTGGCAAGGCTTGTGCTTATCACGGCTAATTATTTTGTAAAAGCATTACAAGGTTTCTGTTTCTTTTGCACTGTGTTTGATTTGTTGGAAAAGGGCGTGGGTCAGAACAATGGCGGGGAACGGAAGGATTTATATTCCTTGCAGACATCTGGTTATTTGCATCCTTTTAGAGCAGGGATGTCAAACTCCCGGCCCACGGGCTGGATGCGTCACATGCTGGCCCCGCCCCCAAATGGTTTAGTGGAAGGGGAGAAAATCCCAATTAGTCATGTGATGCTGCCATGACAACATGAGTTTGACACCCCTGTTTTAGAGGTCATTGAAGCACTTGGAAGTTTATCTGTGTCCTCAAGGCCACCTGAGTAGTACTCCTGGTTCCTGTACTCTGCAATTTTTGGATAGATTCCAAATTCAGATAGAAAATCAGAACGTGGATAAAGGATTACAGGATAATAAGGAATTGCCTCCAGAAGATGTGCATGCTCCAACACTGGAGGTTTTAAAGAAAAGATTGGACAGCCATTTGTCTGAAATGGCATAGGGCAAGGGTCTTCAAACTTGGCAAGTTTAAGACCTGTGGACTTCAACTCCCAGAATTCCTGAGCTAACATGACTGGAGGAAGAATTCTGGGAGTTGAAGTCCACAAGTCTTAAAGCTGTCAAGTTTGAAGGCCACTGGCATAGGGTCTCCTGCCTGAGCAAGGGGTTGGACTAGAAGACCTCCAAGGTCCCTTCCAGCTCTGTTATTCTGATATGATTAGGATTCTGGTCTTGTGAAATGCCACACGTTTAATCAATTCCCTCTACTTTTTAAAATGCCAGTTTGTCTTTACTTGGCAGCATTTTTTTCCCCTAGGAATGCTTCTTTCTGTTTTCACCTGCCTCAATACGTTTTCATTGTTGCCAGTTCCTCAAAATTAAATAATAGCGCCCATCGCTGATAAAGTCGCTACCTCGGGTTACGCAATCAAATTGGGAAGGAACCTCCGGGGACAATGGATTTAATATTCTGCAATACGGTGTCATAATCTTACATTTAAACAGTCCTGACAGATGCCCATCTCTTGCGAGACTCTAAGGAGGCAGATATCACAATATCCTCTGGCATGGTTGTTAAAGCAGGCTGAAATTGCATCTCTTCGATCATGTCTCAGGAGGTGGAGAGAACCGATATACAGCTTATATCTTCTCATCGACCTCCTTTACTCTAGCCAGGATATTCTGAAAGCAAGAGGTGCCGAGCTCGCCAAATACAAATATGTTTTCTGTGTCAACTCATAAAACATTTCTATGCCTATTTTAGAGTTGCCATGAACAGAAAGGGGGCAGGGAGAGAAATTTGAAAGTGCAGTGCAGAAGTTTGGAATCGAAAGTGCGTTCCATTCTTATCTTGCAAAGATTATAACTAAGCTACTGGAATTTCTGCCCCGCAAATCTCTAATTGGAGAACGTGATTGATGACTCTTGGCTATGAACGTGTTCCATTGGAGAATATGAATTATGATGCACCCAGAGGGATGGGGGGAAACCAGGGTCAAGGGTGACAGTGAATTATGAGTCTCAGAATCGGCTTCATACAGGTCAGGCCGACATGTTCACTCTGAATAAATCTGTGATGATCTGGAGTATAACACAAACGTAACCTAAAACATAAATAAATGTCCTTTGATGTCTCCAGTTTGGCCCCACTGTTCAATAATTCTCAGTTGGAGATAAAACTTACCGAAAAATAGTCTTCAAAAGAAAGCAATACGGTCTGAACTTAATGAACAGATAGAGATGAAATATAAAACCAAAACAAGGTATAATGAAAGAATTTCCACAACGGACCAGGATAAGTAATTACCAACTTCAAGGAGATAACAAGGCACAGTCTGTTGGAAGGACGCCAACTAAGATAACTTCAGCCCAAAATAAAACACACTTTGCTTCTTGCAATGCTGTGTTTTAACTGTCTCTCTGATATACTATTCTCCCGAGCTGCAACCAATGAGGGGGATCATGGCCACTTCCTCTCTTGTAAGCCAAGTTGTTTCCTTCTCCGTTCCTCCCTGCGTGCCCTAGGATGGAGAGGGGATGGGCCTGGTTCTTCCTCTGACTGCCCAGCCGGCCTCTGCCCTTCCTCAGCTTCCTCACAACCTCCGGAGCCACACTCCCACTCCCTGTCGGCTGTTCCTCCTCTCCCTCAGAGTCCGACTTTAACAAGGGCATGACAAAATCCTTTGAAGTTTTTGAAGCTTGGCTCAAGGTTCATGATTTAATTAGGGCAACTGCCGGAATCCTGACGTTCTGTACATTTGAATCCTAGAGTTAATTATTCAAATTCTAATCTCAGAATTTTAAGACATAAAATAAAATCCACCTCCTTTTTTTTTCAGGAGCTGTTTAGTAAGTGTAACAACCCTGGATTATTTCTTTATTTTATTCAGGGCATGGCATCTGCAGAGATCGTGCCATCGCTGACCTACAGATCGGCCTCAATTTGCAATCATTCATTTTAGCGTCCAAAGTTACAACCTTGAAAAAGTGACTTATGACCATTTGGGGGCCTGCTGGTCCAACAATCTTAGTATTTTATTTTAATTTTATTTTTTAGGAAATTTAGATTGCAGCCTATTCACAAATGGTGACTGGGGGCATCTCACAAGAATATAAAAGCATCATGTAAAAACAATAAAATTAATAAAATAATAATATATAATAGAATAATAAAATGAAATCACCCAACACAACCCCCTGCCCTGGCAACAACACATTACACGAGCCATTTAATGGGCTCCATCATGCTCTGCGTTCTGCAAGCCTGCTGACAGAACCAGGACTTCAGCGCCTTCTGGAAGAGTGTCAGAGTGGCGGCCATTTTAATCTCTGAGGGAATGATGATCCAGAGAGAAGGAGGGAGCCAACATGGAGAAGGCCCTTCTTCTGGGTCCCACCAGGTGATATCTCCCTTGGGGATGGGACCCGCAACATTCCTTGCCTCCCTGCTCTGGTGGGTCAGGTAGATGTGATCAGCAGATGAGACAGTCCTCAGGTAACCTGGTCCCGAGCCATGAAGGGCTTTAAAGGTGACAACCAGCACCTCGAATTGCACCCGGAAGCAAATCGGCAACCAATGCAGCTCCCACGGGAGAAATGACACATGTGCACACACTGAGGTCTGCACAAAGGAGGGAGGAAAGGAGGCAGGGAAGGAGGGAAGAAGGAACGAAAGGAGGGAGGGAGGAAAGAAATGAAAGAGGGTGGGACGAAGAAAGGAGGGAGGGAGGAAGGAAGGAAGGAAGGGTCCCTATCCAAGGTCAAATTCACCAGGCAAACAGGCTGCCTATCAGTAAATAATTTTCAAAGGTTATTCCATTCCGACTGAAGAAAACCAAATTTCTTTACTTGTCTTAATATAACTTTTTTCCCCCTTTAAAATGATCATTATTATAAACAATAGTCCCCAAAGCGTTCTTTTAAAGACTTTTTTTCAAATTTGGAAGCTGTAATCGTTCTAATTAACTGTGATCAGTCAAATGTGGTTTTAGCATAACAGAGAAAAAAAACAAGGTCCCCCTAGGTTACTTGATGAATTCCAAGACACGCTGTTGCTGGCGAGGGCAGTGGTTGAATATCTGATATTATATTTGATTTACAGTTCCAAAGTGTTTTTTTTTTTTTTTTCATCTTTCAACATTTGGCATCTCCAGCTCTCAGTCTCTACTAAAAGGACCAGACGTAGCCAAAACTGGATTTGGGCGTAATGGAATCACACAAACTATAGATGTTACAAAGGGAAATAAATGAAAGATGACAACTTGGAAATTTGAATTGGAAGCATTGAGTAACACAGATGGCAATGAAAAAACAAACGTATCAGGTGATTCCAAAGGTGTTTTTTTTTCCCCAAAAGACAACTGGATTCTGTTTTTCCTTTGAAGACCTTTCGCTTCTCATTTGAGAAGCTTCTTCAGTTCTGACTGAACAGTGTAGAAGGGAAAGATATATATTCCTTGCAGTCATCTGGTCATTTGCATTCTTTTAGAGAGTCAGTGAGGCCACTTGGAGATTTATTTATGTCCTCAGGGTTTACAGCACCCGTCCTTTTAGCAATTCCAAGAAGGCTCCACACCCATTTGCACTATTCAGGTGATTCTGAAGGCACAGAAAAAACTCCAAGTGGCCTCAATGGCTCTCAGAGGGAGTACCAATGACCAGATGACTGCAAGGATTTAATTTTTTTTTTAATCCTTCCCTTCTCCAGCATTCAGTCAGAAGTGTAGGAGCTTCTTGGATGAGAAGTAAAACATTTTTGAGGAAAAACTTTGAAAAAGCACCTTTGGGACTGAGAATCTCCACAGACGTACAAGGTAACGGTACAATGCAAAATTCGGGCTTCATTATTTTGACAAAATTTCAGTTTGCTCTCTTGCTTGGAAGGAAGTGACATTTTGTTTCATTCTGGTCTCTGTGTGTTTGGTATTAGAGGTTTTATTTTTTATTTTGTACTACATTGCATTTATTGGTTGGATTTATTTAACAAAGTTAAAATGAGAAATTACTGCAAAGGTCGCCTTGTATTTTCTGGCTGTACCTCAAGATTGGGGCAATGTGTACCGTATTGGCTGAGACTTTCTTTCAGTTGTAAGTAATATTTGAGATGGGTCACAAGAGAAATAAAAGCAGTCTAAAATACAATAAAAATATAATAGCACTATGGGCTCAACCACAGCAATTCAGCAAGGTTTTGAAATGTGGAAGCGCAGCAAAACAAATCTGATTATATTTAAAAATGCAACATATTTAATAATGCTCATTAGATGGACTATTATTTTAATCATTTAAAGATCAAATGCAAATGTTTTTTTTTTTAAATGGATATACAGCAGCTCAACTGCTGCAATCCCAGATCTCTTCTAATTAAGTTTGGATTTCATAGAAAAAATTACTACTGGAATGAACCTGTCAACCTACGGAGCTGTGGTAGCCCAGTGGTTAGAATGCAGTATTGCAGGGTAATTCTGCCGACTACCAGCAGTTCGATCCTGACCGGCTCACGGTTGACTCAGCCTTCCATTCTTCCAAGGTCGGTAAAAATGAGGACCCAGATTGTTGGGGGCAAAAGGCTGATTCTGTAAATTGCTTAGAGAGGGCTGTAAAGCACTATGAAGTGGTATATAAGTCTAAGTGCTATTGCTGAAGCTATTAAAAAAAGAAATTAAAACTAACAAAGTCAGTAAGTCAGCTGGCTGGAAAAATTGACATCACAGTCATATGATTCTCATGTAATAACTGCAGTGATTCTCTTAACAACCATGCCAAAAAAGGTCATAAAATCAGGTATCTTCATGTGACAATCTCACTTAATAATTGCACTGCTTAACACTTAATTTCCCACTTCCTATTGAGGTCATAAACCAAATACTACCCATAGTCTCACATGCTCATTCCTAATGGACATGGTAGTAAAACGTTAAAAGGAAAGTATTTATAGAGATTCTTAGTCATCCAGGTCATGGCTGTCCCAAAGGTGCTTTTTCAGAAAAACTTTCTGGTTTTTCTTTGAAGAGATTTCGCTTCTCATTCAAGAAGCTTCCTCCGTTCCTCACCATTCAGT